ATAAGGAGCTGAGAGTAGAGACAACTATGAAATGCTACATGTACTTTGTAGGTTGAATTTTTTTTTGTTTTTGTAACAGATTCATAATGGTAACATAGGCTCCATAAATAAGTTTTTAAATGCCAAGTTACATTAAGCATTTAAATACTTTTAAATATCATGTAATTAGTCTATGGAAATCAGGCCTTGTTCTTTTAATTATTACTGCTTTTCAGCAGTATTTGAATACCAGTCAGTCTTTATTAAACCAGCTCTCTTTTAGATATAATTAGAAATCCCAAATAACATCCAACCTGAAGACTTTTTTATTTCTCAGTATAAATTTTGTTATGTTGACAGTATTATACTCATGCATAATTATACAGGTAGGAAAACAATGAAAATACCAGACTGAGTTAATGACATTTTCTATCATACTGGGATGTCAGTCTTTTCAGTGCATCAAAATTAAGGAAATGAACCACTTAACTTTGTACTGGAATTTTTGTCTAATTGGTCAAGCTTAGTGATTTTTGTTTTAAACAAATGGACATTTTGACTTACTCTGTTTTTTTTCTTTGTTGAGGGGCTATTACCCCCTTATTATATCTAGGTTTCTACCTCCTTTTTCCTATTCTAGGACCTTTCCAGGAGTCTTCTTAAGTTATGCCATTACCATTTTTCTTTAACTATAGCCTTAGGTGTGTGGTTTCCCAATTTTGAGCTGTGATACCTAGAACTAACTGTGTATTCATTAATGAAGCCTTTTGAAGGCACAGGAAAATAGTTATCCTAGTCTTAGGGGAGGGGGGAGTTTGGGGGCAGTTAAGGAACAGGGCAGAAGTGGCTTCACTGGCCTGTAGGGCCTAAAGATGAAACCTAAGAACAGATTAGAACAAGCCTATTGATGACGTATTAGCAAATAGAAGGTGGACTTGGAAGTCTTTTCTTTGCTTCTGTTAGGACTCTTTTGGATTAGGAAATTTAAAGTTGAGTAATAAAATAGCTGTGGCTAGTTTTTAAATACAGATGTATACACAAGGTGTATGCACAAAATTCATTACTAAAAGAATAAAGACCAGAATGATTCATTTGAAACCGACTAGTATAGCCGTCATCAGTGATATAGAAATTACCCAGGCTTTTGTTAATTCAAACTGACCTTGCCTCTAAATGTCAAGGTTGAAGCCAGCAGTGGAGAGTTAAGAATGTCAGCAGTGAGGGCATCATGGGCAGAAAGGGGAGACAGCCGCCAGGAATGGGCAGGGGGAGAAAAGATGGAGAAGGAAGGGAGTCAGATCAAGTGGTAGGAATGGAAACATATAAAGGACTAGAAAAAGAGAAGGGGGTGACAACAGCTGGAGGGAGAAGGGACAAAAGAAATACTGGTGTATTGAAGCGATTGAAGTAATGTTGTGTGTCATCCCTTTAGTGTGTCTGAATTTGCCTAGTCAGGGCTACCATGGAAACTTTAAAGAATTCAGTTTAACTGTGAAAGGAAGATGAGCAAGAAAGAAAGGAATTTTTGAAAGCAGGCTCAATCACTTTTTAAGATCAGCAGTAGCAATACACAGTTTAATTTTACAACATAGTAATGATAGTATTTGAGTCCTGTTACTCTGGGGCACTATTCTAAGTGCTTTACATATATTGATTCATTCAGTCCTCACCACAGTTTTATAAGCAGACACTATTTCTCCCATTTTACAGATGCGGAAACTGAGCCACAAAGAGAATAAGTAATTTGCCTAGGCTAGTCAGATAACAGAGCCAGGATTCCACTGAGGCAGCCTGACTACTGTGCTACAGCTGGCTTCATCACCTCCACCTCCCCCTCTCCATGATTTGTATAGTATATTTCTGTAGAAATTTGTCTTGTTTTGAGAACGTAATATCCCTTTGAGATAGTTGTACATCTGCTAGGCTGGCAAACTCTGGACACTATTTAAAAATCAGTTTTTATTTCCTTTAATTATAGTAATTCAAGAAGGTTTATTAAATTAGGTAACAACACAAGGATGGATAATGCACGGTCCCTGTCCCCAGTGAACTAAATCTCAGTTTGTAGTTGTTTGCTCACTCAAACCAAGTATCTGCTCCAATACTGGTGTGAATTCTTTGACTTTGAACCAAGTTTACGTGCATTAATGAATGTTTGTTGCCTTCAAAAAGGACGCTCACCTTTAAAAGCCACAGACCAACTAATAATATAGCCATTACTTAAAACTTTTGGAATTCTTTTCCTTTCAGTAAGCCACACAACAAAATCAGCTTTCTGTACAAAAAAGCAGAAGTACCTAACTTGATTACCTTCTTTAGTCATCCTTAAAATTAAAGCCTCCCATGGATATTCACAAAGTATTATCTAAAAAGGTGTTTTGTTTTGTTTTTTTACAGCCCTGATGGAGTAAAATGTTTGCAGGCTATAGAGGAAATGTGAATGGAGTTAGTGGATTTCACCAGAACTTTGGAAGAGTGTTGGGTATTAGTGTTGCACTGGAGGAGGATGAGAATTGAGCCCTATTTAGAGGGAACAGAAAGACTTCTGTGAGGAGTGTGGGTAAATAAACCAGGAATCTACCCTGAAGATCATTGCTTAGCTCTCTGAACATTTAATTTTTTTAATTATTTGTAGAACTTTAGAACGATTCACTAGTACACATACTTTGTTTCCATTGAGACTATCTTGTAAGGAGAAAAGCTGTGTGGTTTGAAAGTACTTCTTGGTATTGAGGCTTACAAGAAGTCTGAAGAGAATGAAGCGGTGACTGGGAATCCTAAGAGATTTTACCAAGAAGAACTCTTTGGAGACTTTTAGAGGTACCTTTTAGGCGAGTAAGAGAAATCCTGGATCATCTGGCGTTAAGGACGTTTATGTATTAAGTTCGGTGTAATTTGACATTGGACTTGAGTCTGTATTGCTTCACTCTTTTGTAAATAGTTCTGGCATTTGATGGCTGGCTTCGCCATTCCCCTCTTAGACATGACTTAGATAAAAAGTGAGAGATTGTGGGAAACTGAGAGTATCTTTATTGTCTCTTGCATTTCTTACCCCGTGCTGTTGGCTCTTAGATTTTACTGTGGGATTTGGAATACTTCGACTTTAACATCGGTGCCCTTATAATTATATGTGGATTATCCACATATCATTCATTTGGCAAATACATTGAACAGCAGCTGCACAATGGGAGACAATGGGAACATGAATGAATAATTCAGTCTCTAAATTTAAGCTGCTTCTAGACTGGTAGGGCAGACAACATTAATAAGCCAGAAGTTAGAATACATTGAAAGTACAGTAATAGAGGTATGCAGTTTCCTGTTGAATAAAGAAGGGCACTTCACTCTGACTCAGGAATTTTCCTTAGGATGAGGTAAGCCTTTAAATAGAAAAGGAATTAATCAAACAAAGCAGGTAGCAGTGTAGGAAATTTTCAGCATGTGGAAGAAATAACTGAGCTAGGAAATGATTATCCACTCTCTTGTACTTTCTACATTTCAGAAAATCCCCTGCCTGCATGACTGCTGTTTAGCTGGTATTTCAAGAATATTAACTAATTTTGGTGTTGCTTAATTAAATCTGTTGTAAAGATAACAGTTTATTCTCAGTCTGTGAAAACTAAGAATAAGTTGCTTTTTTGAGCGTTCTCAATTTTTACATCTTCCTTGTTGTAATTTTAATTCTAAAGGATGGAAGTAAGTTGAAAGTCCAAGTTGAAATTACTCAGTCCTTTTAAGGTAACATTACTGGTTGTTTGGAGCCAAGCTCACTTAATTTAGGTCTGTTTTAAACATGTATACATCAGGAAGTGAATTTCTTGAAGTCATTTTTACTCCATTTACTCATGGGCAAATGCAGTTGGACTAATGAAGGTCCCTTTCAGATCCAAAATCCAGTGATTAAATTTCATGGCTCAGCATTATTTATAAGTTGTTTTAAAAGCTCAGAGGAAAGAGTCCTCCTTCTTGTATCAGAAACTTTCTCCTCATGTTAACTACCCAAATCATGTAGCATGATTTATGTTCTTTCTCTCCTCCCCTCCCTCTTTTGGCATTGTTTCTATATAGTGATTGATGACCCCCAAGATACAGTGAGACTCAGTGTTCGTCTCTTGAAAAATAATGAATCTGAATCTTATCATTTAGAAATCATCTTCCCATGAGAAATTTCTTCTGTGTAATCTTAGATTATTTGAGAATGTGCCTATTTTCTGAGTCAGCAATTAATTTGGTTTATTACTACCTTTTTGGGTAAATATTGCTCAAAATTGATGTTTCTCTGTCTTAGTCAATGTCTTTGTAGTGCTATGTTCTTATACTTCAATCCCAAGAACATATAACTTACTGAAGCCGAAAAAAATTGCATATTTCTTGATCTCCTGTTGGCAGTGTTTCTACTCTCTTGGTTTATCTTACATGTTTATTCCCTGGGTTTGTTTTTGTTTTTGTTTTTTTAGCTACTTTTAATATACTGTTGTGAAGTAATACAGATACTAGGTAGTAATCACGTTCAGAATCTTCTCATTTTGCCTTATAGACCCTATTTCTGTCCTGAAAGCGGTATTATGTAGCTCTTAGCCACACAATGAATTGTTGATTAATTTAAAAGAACCCTAGAAAGTAGTGGCTGTACCTAAAAAGAAGGAAAATCTGGGTATATTTTACTACTTTTTTTTTTTAAGCTATGGCTTTATTATTTTGCTTGAGGGTTTTTTTTCCCCCTTTACCTCCACAATATGCATTAATAAGATTTAAAGTTTCTTTTAGTTAGCCCAAATAGAAGTCTTTTTCCTTTTTCCCTTTGGTGTTCTATTTGCAAAACAAGTAAAGCAGGTTTTATAGACTAGGGTAACTAGTTTTATTTAATTAATCACTTTATTAAAACTTATATCAATCTTAGCCCAACTCACAGTTCATACTTTTAATACTCCATTCCTTCTTTGCACGCCCCTACCTTAGAAAGTAGAAGGTTTTTCCAAAATTTTTTACTTTTAAATCACCAGTGTTTATCTTTTCTGCAGATAATATCACCTACCGCATTATTTTTGGCTGCAAAAGTGGAAGAACAGGCTCGAAAACTTGAACATGTTATCAAAGTAGCACATGCTTGTCTTCATCCCTTAGAGCCACTGCTGGATACTAAATGTGATGTATGTAATAATAATTCAATTGGTGTTGCCTTCCAACTGCTACTTATTTCTTTTATCATTTAGGATGTAATGCCAGGGAGTGATCTAACAGAAACATATTTTATGTATGTACATGAGTTTCAGTGTCGTTCTGAATCATGTTAAGGCTGTGCTTCAAAGGTGATTATAAGTGTTTCATATTTTGTTGTTCACAGCAAACTTATGCTATATGTAGAGGGTAAGTCATATCATCTCCATTGTTTGGGTCCATTTGAGACCAGAGATAAATAATTCTTAAATTGTCAACAATGAAAAAAAAATAGAAAAAACCCCTGGACTTGCCTCTAGAACAGTAAATAGTAATTTTACAGAATTGCTCCTTTGTTAATGCATATATACTAATAGTTACCTCTCTGATACATATCCATAAAGATGCTGTTTTACCATACTTTCATGAGAGGGTTTTTTTCATATTTTAATTTTCCTCAAGAGTAATGCTAACTTCTAAACAACTTGTTCATCATCAACATTTTAATAGACCATTTTGAAAGTGCCATTTTAAAATGTTATGACATCTTAAAACAGGAGCTAGAATTCTAGGCCTTTAAATTCACTTTCCCAAGCACTTGTATTATAGGTGAGTTCCTTTATCGGGAACTTTTAACTACTAAATGACTGCCAGATTATATTAGTTTACTTTCATTTAGTTAATCCTAAAGTCCAGATTAAGTATATCTGATATAAAAAAAAAAGTGTATCTGATTTTTTTTTAAAGTATATCTGAGTTTATTAATGACAAGTTTTATCTTAGATGTTGGCTTTAAGGGAGTGAGATACTAACGTAACCATTCAATAATAAAAAATGTGTGATTATTCAGAGATTGTTCTTGTAATTTCTATTAACTTTACAAATTCAGAATTAATTTTGGTGAATAGGGTATTGTTCGAAAAAAGAAATCTGTGTTTTAAAAAAATCATCTGGTGACCTTTTTAAATGGGACATAAATAAAGGTGCTTTTCAGTCTGAGTTTAGAGTTTAGCAACATGTCCTTACATGAATATTTATGTATGATGTATTGTTTATCACCTTACACTCAGTTGTCATAATTTAAGAAATTTGATAATGGTAGAAATTTTTCATACTCTTTATTCCCAGAGTAATCACAGTAGGGGAATGATTTGTTGAAGTTAAAAGAGAAGGCCCTCTATTTCCCCATGGGTGTATGATACATTCTTTTGGTATTTTATATCTAAAATGTTTTCTTTTAACCTAGAGATTTGAGGGTTTGCTTTGATTTTATTTTGTCTTTTTGAAGAGAGGAAGTTCTAAAAAAATAACACACTGACTTACTCTCATCATCAAGGAATTACCACATGAAATATCTTAGAGTGAGTTGATGTGTCTTTTCTTTACAGGCAGGTTTGAATTTGATGTTCTTGCTTGAGTTGGTGCTTCCTATCTTAGTATGCCTACATGAAGTTTTATATTACAGGCTGGAGGGTTTGTTGTTTTCAGTTAAGTTCTACCTCCTTTCATGTTATTGTTGTCTTTTTAGGGGTTTTTTGTTGTTTTTTTTTTTTTACCTTGTTTACATATTCTGTATTAGAAGTAATTCAGTTTAGATTGGTTGTAGAAAATAAGATTTGTCTGTTGCCCTCAAATTATTTCCTTTGTGTTTCCAAACTACTCTGATTCTTCTGTAATGATTTAACGGTCCCATAGTCTAGTAGTGTTTATCTTAAGCATTTTAATGTTATTATTTTTACCTGGCAGGCTTACCTTCAACAGACTCAAGAACTGGTTTTACTTGAAACCATAATGCTACAAACCCTAGGTATGTACTTATGTCAGATATTATTTTTGTGTTGTGTTCTTCAGTGTGGTCTCCTAAAGATGGAATAATTTTATCATTGAACAGAGTTTCATTTTAAAACAATGTTTGGGGCCAGAATAGTATTACCTGGTTATAAGGAAACCATTTTTTAAAAAATTTCATTTGCCATTAATTGAATGGTAAACATAGTTTTCATTGTGAAAGACTGCATATGATTGTAATGTGTACAAATATTCTGACTTATAGTCAGTATTTAATAAATTTATCACAGTTTTAATGTGACACAGTAGTTATTTAAACGATCGTCTTTTTCTAAAAGTTACATTGTCTGCAAGTTTTTTGCAATTTAAGTGATCTCTAAAGATTATTTATTCAAATCTTTCACTTTATTGTTGAGGAAATTGAGACCTAACAAGGTCTGTCTTGTGTGAAGTCATATATTACTTCTGGAAGAACTTAGCAGGGTATGATGGGAATAACATGGGCTTTATGGAGCTCTTGGTTTAAAATCCATATGCCTTTGACTTGCTTTTTAAGCTTGGGCAAAGTTGTTTTACCTTTCATATCTCCATTCTATATATGCGAGGTGGATAAATAATGTCTGCCTTAACATTGTGAATTTGAAGATGAGAGAGAGTATATAAAAAACATGTACCACATAGTGTGTGTCATAAATAGCCATTATTCATTATGGTAGTTATTTATTTATTACTCCATTCCCAAACATTGAAAAGAAGTGTGATAATCATAGCCTCCCATCATGACAGACTTTTTTTTTTTTTTTTTAAGAAAAGTAGCTTGTTTGAAATAGATATAACTTGTTTGAGGTTTTTATAATATTAAAAGATATAAAAATAAAAGTGAGAATCTTACTATCTCCAAATCCAATGATTTAGCATGTTATTGCTTTATTATATGACATTATATAAATATGAAATTTACAAAGATTTGTGTAATAAAGGTTAAAAGGAAAATTACGTTATTTTAAGGGGAATGTTAGAATTTATAAGATACATTTCTGTGGCTTTGATTAAAGTATGATTTGCAGTTTTAATTACAGTAGATACAGATCACATAGCAGTTTTAGAAATCTAGATTACCTGTTTGTCAGGATGTTATTCATTTACTGCTTCTGAAGACACTAGATGTGACCTCCACTAAAAAAAGGAAAAACCATGCCCTGCCTAAGGCTTGTTTAGACATTGAGAGCTCTTTCAGCATTTTATCTTTGGTTTTAGAAACAGTGATTTAAAGAATTTTGAGCCTACAAGGTTCACTTGTCTTAATTAACTTTATTATCAGTGAAATGTAATTATAAGCTAACTGGTTGAAACCCTCTCATCTAAGGCATACTAAGAAAATAAGAGGACTATAAATCATTTAAAAGGTCTTTTTTATCCCACTATGGCCCAGGGATTATATTTATGAAAAATACTCTTTTTTTACATCTTCAGAAAGAGTTGTAATACGTTTAAAAATATGTTACATAGTTGAATTCTTTGCTTAATAGTTATATTTTCCATAATTTTAATTTGTGTTTAACCTGAGGGTAATCTCAAACTAATCATAATTCAGAATTTTTAATAAATATCACTCCAATCTACGAATAGCTTTGTTAACCAGTTTTCATTAAGTGGAGCATTGTTTTTGAGAAGAAATTATTTCTCGTCATTGAAGGTATAATGAGCATGTCAGTGATAGAAAATAACTTTGTCTTTGGATCTTTTTAATAATGAATGATGTATTATACACATTTATGGTTGTGCTGACACATGGCATTTCTCAGGCAAGTATTGTAGTGTGGTAAGTGATTGGGAAAAAAGTGCTTTTCATTTCAGGTTTTGAGATCACCATTGAACATCCACACACAGATGTGGTGAAATGTACCCAGTTAGTAAGAGGTAAGTGATCTTTGAAACTTCTAAATTAAGTATTAATGCTTTTTATTGTCTGTAATTGATTTGAATGAGTTTTATCAAAATGGGGAGATGTCGTTTTGAAGCAATATCTTTTGGTGTCCTACATCTACCTATTCATCTACTTCTGTATGTGGTTCTACCTGGTGAATTAGTTTCCTTTAAACTTACAGGAGAATCACCTTTCACTAAAAAATTGGAGGGCTTCCAAATATTAAGACTCTCTCCACCTCCCCATTAGGCTAAGCCAGTCCCATTTCATTTAATATTTAAGAAGTTGGCCATTGACACATACACACAGAAAATTTCTGGTCTATCTCAAGCTTTCGTTGACTTCTAGAAAAATGATTACAATTTAAGAATTTGGAGGCCATCCTCAGATCTTTCAGATAAAAATTGTCTTAGCAGGTTTGCCATTTTGGAAATATTTTCCCCGTGTTCATTTGAATAAAATTGGCTTAATACATTTTTCAGAGTTCTTTAGCATTATTGAAAATAATTTCTTGTTTGTGTGTTTTGGGGAAATACATAGTATGCTACAGACAGCAAGCAATGTGCCTATTAAACCTTTTAAAACAGGAGTAGGAACTTTTTGTATTATTTACTTTACTGCTTATAAAGAATGTGGTATACATTTTTCCACTCTTGTTAATGAATCCTATATATCTGTTCTTGTATCCCTAGATATATTCTTTACACAGTTGCATGTTGTTACACTACTTCTTACTTCTACTTTCCTGTTTCCCATTTGAAGTGTTAATGTACTAAGAGCAACCACTTGGAACTTTCATTATGCCTTTTTTCTGTTACCTTTTGAAAATGAAATTTTGCAGTTTCATTCTTTTACCCCCAGATTCTTTTCTTTAGGTTTATTCTAAACAAAATGGGTAAGACTTTTAAAGGCTCTGCTTTGTTTTTTAGTGTTTACCTGAATATTCTTATATTTTATTCCTTCTAAATTTAATTCATATACCTGGTAGGATTTTATTATGTTAATGGCTACATTTAAAACAAACCTGTTACCACAGTGTCATTGTTAAGACATGGGCTTCTGAAAGTCCCATTTATATTTTTTTAATTCTAATAGCTAGTACATGTTATGATTTGTAGAACATACTTAATTATGGTTCCTGTACTTCATGGTTATTGGAATATAATTTAGAGCACGTTTTCATCCCAGAATTACAGTGTAGTATAAAATTATATTAGATAACTAGTGTATATGTTTGAATTAAGAAAAAAAAGTTTTAGAGTAGTTTTCCTAAAAACTTGAAAGAATAAGCTGTTTTGTCAGAATAATGGGGAGCCATATAACTGCTTTAAACTAAGCCTAATGAAAAAAGATATTTATATAGGTTAAAACATATATATATGTACTTAGTAGGAGATGAAACTTGATTTTCAGCTTAGTATCATTGTGAAATTTGAGTCCTCTTTAAAAATCCATAATCAGAGTTCAGTAGCTTTTGTACATGTTCCCCTATATCTAAAGCTAGAGACATCAAGTCCATTCATTTGCGAAGTTGAATAGTAAGTTTTTAAAAATTCACAAAAACTACAAATTTGATGTTTTATCCAAAGCAGAATATTTAAATCTAATTTATTTGTTGTTGTTAACACTTAAAATGTGACCAATTCTTAAATTTTAGTACAAATCTTACATATGTTTAACTTCCATTTTGTCTGACTAACATTTCAGGTAACAAATGTAGTTTACATTTCACTCCATTTAAAAACATTCTTTCATGTTTGGTGTCTGTTTTTCTTTGCTCTGTTAAAATTTTCAGCTAACGAACATTTTTCCTACATTCTTCCTCTGTTGCACACTGTTAATAGGTTATTGAATTTAGATATATTCTGAGGTAAAAACTGCTATGGCAATTTAAAATTTTTACTTCCTTCTCTACATATTTTGATTCTTTGGGGGGCAGGGGGGTGGTAAATGGTTTCGTTTCTTTAAAGTTCTTCGCGCGACCCCCCCCGCCCCCCCTGACATGAGAAAGTTGATATTATGCTACTTTGCTGCAGAATTGGCTAATGTCATTTTACAGGGACCTTTCATTTCTGTGATTTCTCCTTCCCTCCCCACCAGGAAAGAATGCCATACATAAGTCACACTGCCTCCAAGACATCTGATGCTTTGACACTCTTCCTTAGCACAACTCTGCTAAGCCCAAATCCCTTTTGTATACCTTATGTTGGTGATCCACATGGGGCAGCAGGGATTACAGGTGCCATGAAAAACATAGAGGGCAAATTTGAGGCCTGTTAGAGAGGGGTGAGTTGAGGTGAACTGATCCTAGATGAGCAGAGGGGAAAGGTACATCGATGATTATGAATGTAATTGGGGGAAAAGGGATATTATAGCAAAAGAATCCCTCTTGGGAAGAATAAGAAATCAGATAAAGTGAGCGGGGGACTGTTTTCAATTACAATGTCTTAAAAGCTAGTTGGTAAAAATTGCTTTTCCTTTGGGGACCAGTGTTGAAGCATCCTGATTCCCCGGAGTACTTATATCTTTTAAAGTTGACCATTGGATTCTGTAAGAAAAATATATGCAGTGGAGTTTTCTATATCTATGCCCTTAGGATGTGTCTAGGTTGTTTATTCCTTGTTGATGCTTAGTAGCATGAAAAACTGAGCAGTTTGTGCTCTCTTGAGTTTGGGGGGGGTGGGGGTTTTCTTTTCTTTGGATGGAAGTACTTAAGCCAACTTAAATATGATGACTGAGGATTAAGTCTGGCAGGCAACTCTTTGTATTTTGTATTAGACTTCAAAATCTTTTCTTCTTCTTCTTCTTCTTTTTTTTTTTTTTAAATCCAGGAGAATGCTTTATTGCAACTTTTAGCTGACTAGATGCTTAACTTAGTAACAAGTTTAGCCCTTGTAACTGGCTAGCTAAAAGCAAATCGGCTTGTTTCTCAGATCTTTGGGGGATAGCAAGAAACATTTGAGTGAATGTTGTTGAAGATTTTCAGTAGTATAGAAAATGATGGCGCTCTTGTGATATTTGTAAGTAGTAAGTAAAATTTACTTTTTGTGTACAAAACTTTGAAGTTTTTGTTGTGTTGAGAACTTTTTGATGGTAGCACATTAAAGCTGATAGTATTGTCTTCGTTTTTTTTTTCTTTTCTTACAGCAAGCAAGGATTTGGCACAGACATCCTATTTCATGGCTACCAACAGGTTGTTATCCTGACCCTCTTTGTTGCACTGTTGTAGCACACTATAGCTTCCTTTAATGCAGGGCCCCCTCAATGTGTCTCTTACCCTTGTTGCAACAGGAGACTGGACCATCTACTGTGGTGGTACCTTCCTGTCTGCTTTGCGGTGTATTGTACAAGGGACTTTTGGCACAGAGGGGTTAAATGCACATTGTGAAGTGTAGTGGTGCTTTCTGATGACATATTCTCGATTTGTGAGTGCATAAGTCTAAAATTGGTAGCCTGAATAGCAGCTAAAGATTACAAAGAGCTAAACTTAACGTAGAAATTCGAGCAACTTGGTAAGTATAAAGCTATTTCTAGTTTACAATTATAGTTAAATGACAATTTTTTTAAATTTCACATTGATCCAATTTTAACTTTAAAATAATCATAAAAGTTTTTTTTAATAAAATTTATATAACTTGGGTTTTTTTTCCAGATAATACCCAGTAGTTGTAAATCAGAAGTAGCCACGTCCTGTCAGTGCCTAGATTTGACTAAGTACAATTTTTACTTTAAAAAAACTTACTTCCTTTTCAGTTTACATAAAGAAAAAGTATTGTGGGTTTGCTCTTGATAAACATTTTTCATTAATTCTGAACTGAACTGGAAGAATAATTTTTTAAAGCCTTTAATATCTAATAGATAATTCTGTTCTGGGTTGATTATATTAATGCCTTAAATTTGTTTTTTAAATGGGTCATTTGGGAGGAGGGGACCAAACTAGCATTGTGTGGTCCTTAATTTCTTGTGACACTGTTAAGTTTTATGTAAAGCTTTGGATTGGCAAATACCAGTATATTTTCTTAGGTATATGTTGTTGGGATTTAACCTCTATCCCTAGGAATTTTGAAAAACAAAGTACTAAATATAAAACTTTCATTAGAAAAAGCTAGCTGTAACATGTAACATGCCCAGTTTGGGGCATATAGTAGAAGGAGAAAGGTAGCATTTTTCTAGTACTTAGCAGCATTGGGCCTTGAAGCTGTTCGCCAAAAGGTAAGTTTTCTCTGTGGCTTTGCTGAAAAGAAGACAGAGGTTTACATAGATAAGTGTTACATTCTCTTTGACTTGAGAATTGTTTGTTAACCCACATCAAATGGTAGAATTCCTGATTCTATAATGTGATGTTGAAATTACTTCGTCAATTTTACAGAGTCTTCTGCTTTTTCTTTACTTTTTTGCCATGACATTACAAAAGAAAAATACTACAAAAAATTAAAATGTTATATACTGATTATTGGAAATATACTGTCTTCTCCTTTTATGAAGAAGTAAAAATACTTCAAAATTTAGAAATAGTAATATATTAGTAGTCTTAATAAAATAATAGTATAATGATCTGGGGAGTCAGAATGTAGAGAATGTTCATAATCTATGTAGGTTTTTTAGTATTAGAATTTTATAACTATAGTGCTAGTTTTTAATTTAATAAGGTTTTGTACTGTAGACTTAAAGAAAACCTTTATGTTTTTGCTCTAATCTTATTGGTAAATATTTTTCTTTGTTTTACATATTTGAATTACTATGGTTCTTCGTTTTCAAACCTGCTCTACAACAGTCTCCACCTTACCACCTTCTGTCTTCAGTACAAACCAACAGTGATAGCATGTGTGTGTATTCATTTGGCTTGCAAATGGTCCAATTGGGAGATTCCTGTGTCAACTGATGGAAAACATTGGTGGGAATATGTGGATCCTACAGTTACTCTAGAATTACTAGATGGTAAGTAGAGAAAAATCCTTTTTTACATTGAAAACATTTTTTTGTATGGAAAAAGTCTGCCTACTTTTTGTATAGGTTTGAAAAAAAGCGAATCCCCGTGACTCATACTTAAGTGAACAGTTACCAGTTCTGGCCGCTCCAACATTTCCCCCTTCCTCTGTAGTTATTTTGATATTAATCCCAGATATCTCTTCAACTATTAATATTTCAGTTTGTGTTTCAAGAGATAAGAGACTCCTTAAAAACGTAACTACAATTTCATATTAACAATTTGGTAATAGAATTTTAAAAAGTATAATCACATGGTCAGGTGAACGTGATGAAAATAAGGATTCATTAGCCTAAAGGAAAAAAAAACAAAAAAAAAGAAAGAAAAAACCTTGAACATGTTTTAACCACCAATGAATATCTAAAGCCTTCAGGACTTTTCAAAAAATATATATATGATTTGTAATGCTATATATAGGTTGGTATTCGGTTATAACTTACTATAGAACATGTGAAGCAGTGAGCTAAAGGTATTTCAGGGTAACATTCCTTGCTCTGTAGTTCCACTGATAGTGACGTGTGTCGTTATTGCCTTGCATTACTAAATATGAATTGACAAAATCGGGGTACAAATTCTATAAATCATGAACCTGTAATTGGGTGTCCTAATAAGAAATTTCTCTGGTAAGAGAAAAGAGAGGCTGACCAGAGGTAGGAGAGATTCTTGGGGATTAAGACATTTTAACCAAGTATTGTAGATTTCAGAAAGGAAATAGATTATACTTCTTACCGAAGATATACCTAAATTGGTATGTTAGGTTTTCAATTTATTCTTTTTGTGGGCTTTCCCTAACTTCTGTTGCAAAATTGAAGCTAATGGGAAAATAGGATTTATATCTGTTGCTACTGAGGACATCTGTTACCTAGAGACCCCTTTGGGTTTTGAATGTGATCTTCCAATAAAATCTCAACATGTTTCTATAACCTAGATGTTCATTTTCTGTGAAGGGCCAAAAGTAACTCTTTTAGGGTTTATGGGCCCTTCTGTCTATACCAACTACACAACTCTGCCACTGGGGCTGCAAAGCAGCCCTGGGCAATCTGTAAATGAATGGGTGTGGCTGTGTTCATTTACAAACACATGGCACAGGTCATAATTGCAATATTGCCTACCTTTCTGGTAAAATATGCTTCCTTTTTAGATTTTTTGATTTGGGGTTTTTTTTTTTTTTTCCCCTGAAAAATTTCTCGCAGAGCATATATCTCATGCCACATGATTATGCTCTTTTCCTTCTGTCACCAGAGGGTTTTTTTGTTTTGTTTTGTTCTTAAGTTTAACAAGAGAGAAGGGAGGGGCCCCTGGGTGGCTTAGTCAGTTAAGCGGCTGGGCTGCCTTCCGCTCAGGTCATGATCTCAGGGTCCTGGGATTGAGCCCCAGGTCAGGCTCTCTGCTCAGCGGGGAATCTGCTTCTCTCTCTCACTCTCCTTCTGTGTTCTCCCCACCCTCCCTCAAATTAAAATCTTTTTAAAAAAATGAGAGAAGGAAATCTTAAATGAGTTGAAATGGCATCTTCTAAAAGTGGGGGCTTTTTTCATCTATGACTTGAAAATTAGGTTATCGATGCCACCATCTTACTTCAGCAGTTAACAGATAAGATAAAGTTTACATACATGATCCTAAAACAAAAGTTCACAAAAAGCAAGTAATCTGCCTCTTAACACTGCTCTTAAGTTATAGTTAAAGTTGGGTTTTTTGACACAGCAAGGGCCACCTAAATAATCTCTCTGCTTTCATTCTGAAAAGGCTCAAGTCTGTTACTCATTTGGAGAGCCACTGAGTAGGAATCTGGGACATTTAAGACATTGACAATTTCAGGATTTCATAGAGCAGTCTTTCTCTGTCTTTTACTCACAAAAAAAAAAGAGAAAAGTAACAGTTTAAGATATTAAGATATATCTGAATTTTAGCCTGGTGTCTAAGCATCAGTGTTCACTAAAATAATTCATTTAAATACTTGCAAAAACACCATTGGCTTGGACTTGGCCTACCTGTAACATTTGTTGCTTGGCAGAGTTTTTATTTTCTGATTAATAACAAACCCTCATGTGTTTTTTGCATTTTGAATTTTTTTCTGTATAGTAGCTTTGAAGGGAAAAGCTCTATTTTAAGCATCATCTGTGATTTTTGTGCACATAACTAATAGATTAGCAGTGATTATTTGACAGATTCTTAAGTGTCCAAGTAGAAAAATGTGGGGGTTTTTTCAGATTAGGAAGAATGGTAGTCCAGGCATTAGTTTGTTTTCATTCAAATTGGATCAAAAAGTTCATGAACCTTGAGCAGGTTTAAGTTGTCACAGCTTATGAACATATAAGTGCCGAGGTTTTGCATATTTTTTGCTTCAAGAAAAATTTCGTATTGTCTGAATTTTCAGTATCAGTCTTGGCATATTTGCCTAGAATCATTTATAGAGAAGCTTACTGTGTATACTAAAAAATAATAAATGAATCTATGTAGTCTCTACTGAATTGGCATTATTGATATTACATATTGTAATTCATTTGGTATGAATATTTGTCTTGAGTGGTCAATAGCTTTATTAATGGCACTATTTTGGGGTTAGGAAAGTAGAATTCATCACTGCACCGCCTTGGAAAAGTGAGTCATCTCACTGTAATCCCAAATTTAAGAAAAAAGTGAGGTAAAAATATATGACCAGGGTGGTAAAAACTAATACGTTAATAGTAATAATTACTAGGAATCTTGAGTATAGACGGAGGAATTTTTTTCATTTAACACTGAAATAATTTTAAACTTAAACTACAGAATAGTACAGTTTCTATATACCCTTTACCTGGTTTCTCTAATGTTAACATCTTATATACATGATTATCAAAACCAAGAGATTAACATTGTTACAATATTATTACCTAACTATAGGTTTTATTTGATGTCCTCAGTTTTTCTCTTCTAGGATCCTGTGTTCCATTTGCTTGAAATGCTCCTTAAATCTCTTCTAAATTATGTCAGTTTTTCTGTCATTCATTTTCTTTTGTGACCTTGACACTTTGAAAAATGAAAAATAACAGTCGGGGGCGCCAAGGTGGCTCAGTCTGTTAAGCATCTGTCTTCGGCTCAGGTCATGATCCCAGGGTTCTGGGATCAAGCCCCACATCAGGCTCCCTGCTCAGCGGAGAGTCTGCTTCTCCCTCTCCCTCTCCCTCTGCCACTCCCCCTGCTTGTGCACACGCGTGCTCTCTTCTCTTTCAAATAAATAAAATCTTAAAAAAAAAAAAATAATGGTCAGTTATAGTATAGAATGTTCCTCAGTTGGGGTTTAATGTTTTTCAATATTAGATTGAAATTATGTATTTTTGGCAAGAATACCACAGAAATGGGAAATGGGTTGTACTTTACCCTGTGCATCTTATTAAGGACTACATCATATATCAAGGGTTGTTTGTTTTGTTTTGTTTTTCTCAAAGGGTATACTTTACTACTGGTAATAATAACTGATCGCTTGGTTAAGGTGATATCTGCTGAGTTTCTCCATTGTAAAGTTACTGGTCTTCTCTTTGTAATTATCTTGAGGAAGGTATTTTAGGATTACACAGATAACCTTCTTCTTCCTCAAACTTTTGTCCATTAATTTTGAAGAATCTATTGATAGATCTTGCCTGCAATAATTATTACTATGATGTTTGCCTAATGAAGATTTTCTATTTGGGGGGAATTTCAATGCTACAAAATTTTCCAGAGATTCTGAGTAAGCATGAGGGTGGGGGGAGAGTGATTTTTTTTTTTTTTTAAGAATTCATCTTTGAAAAGAGCAGTTCAGATCTGTGTCTACTTCTGTATTTGCTGAAGGTTGAATAGAAGGGTGACAGTGAAGTAGATGAACTCGTGAGGCCCCTTTTTATTATTGCCCACTTGAGAGAAATATAAATCCTAAAGACACCTTCTAAGTTTTAAATTTAAATTTTATTTTTAGAGCTAACACATGAGTTTCTACAAATATTGGAGAAAACACCTAGTAGGTTGAAGAGGATTCGAAACTGGAGGGTAAGAGAATTGGCAGGGTTTAATAGAATATCAGTTTGTCGCTTATCTAACAATTACATAGCTAACCAGTTTGAATTTTTTGGTTAAATATCCTTATTTCCAGTATTCCTAGATAATTACAGTGTATTGTAAGCTGCATACACTCATAGTTTATTCAACTGCTGTGTCCAGTGGACTTTGTTAAGTACTTTATAAATTGTGTGTTTAATTCTCACGGTGATTATAATGGAAGTATTCTCCTTATTTTACAAATGGGCAAATTAAAGCCTAGACAAGTTAAATTACTTTCAAATGCTGGGCTAGGATTTAACCTATATCTAACTCTGAAACCAGTGGTTTCCACTTTTTATAGCCTTCTTTTGGGCCTCTAAATAAGACATTTATTTACTGGCAACATAAAGCCTTAAACCCCAGGTGATTTTATTTGCATATATTTAATATGGATTTTTATAAAGCAAGGAAATTTGTATTAAATTCCTTTGCTGTCATTGCTTCTTTTGTGTTTTATTTAAATAGGCTAATCAGGCGGCTAAGAAACCAAAAGTAGATGGACAAGTTTCAGAAACACCACTTCTTGGTTCATCTTTGGTCCAGAATTCCATTTTAGTAGATAGTGTTACTGGTGTGCCTACAAACCCAAGTTTTCAGAAACCATCTACATCAGCATTCCCTGCACCAGTACCTCTAAATTCAGGAAATATTTCTGTTCAAGACAGCCATACATCTGATAATTTGTCAATGCTGGCAACAGGAATGCCAAGTACCTCCTATGGTTTGTCATCACACCAAGAATGGCCTCAACATCAAGAATCAGCAAGGACAGAACAGATGTATTCACAGAAACAAGAGACATCTTTGTCTGGTACCCAGTACAACATCAACTTCCAGCAGGGACCTTCTATATCACTCCATTCAGGATTACATCACAGACCGGACAAAATTTCCGATCATTCATCCATGAAGCAAGAATATGCTCATAAAGCAGGGAGCAGTAAACACCACGGGCCAATTTCTGCTACTCCTGGAGTAATTCCTCAGAAAATGTCTTTAGATAAATATAGAGAAAAGCGTAAGCTAGAAACCCTTGATCTGGATGTAAGAGATCATTATGTAGCTGCCCAAGTAGAACAGCAACACAAACACGTGCAGTCACAGCCAGCCAGCAGCAGTTCTGTCACTTCTCCCATTAAAATGAAAATTCCCATCACAAATACAGAAAAACCTGAAAAATACATGGCGGAAAAGAAGGAAAAGAGCGGATCACTGAAATTACGGATTCCAATACCACCCACGGATAAGAGTGCTAGTAAAGAAGAACTGAAAATGAAAATCAAAGTGTCTTCCTCAGAAAGACACAGCTCTTCCGATGAGGGCAGTGGGAAGAGCAAGCATTCGAGCCCACATATTAGCAGAGACCATAAGGAGAAGCACAAGGACCACCCCTCAAACCGCCACCACCCTAGCAGTCACAAGCATTCCCATTCACATAGTGGCGGCAGCAGTGGGGGCAGTAAACACAGTGCTGATGGAATACCAGCCACTGTTCTGAGGAGTCCCGTCGGCCTGAGCAGTGATGGCATTTCCTCTAGTTCCAGCTCTTCAAGGAAGAAGCTGCATGTCAATGATGCATCTCACAACCACCACTCCAAAATGAGCAAAAGTTCCAAAAGTTCAGGTAGTTCATCTAGTTCTTCCTCCTCTGTTAAGCAGTATATATCCTCTCACAACTCTGTTTTTAACCATCCCTTACCCCCTCCTCCCCCTGTCACATACCAGGTGGGCTACGGACATCTCAGCACCCTCGTGAAACTGGACAAGAAGCCAGTGGAGACCCACGGTCCTGATGTCAATCACGAGTACAGTGCAAACAGCCAGCATATGGACTACAAAGACACATTCGACATGCTGGACTCGCTGTTAAGTGCCCAAGGGATGAACATGTGATCATTTGGTTAGGTCCATTTTTCCTTTACTTTTCTAATTTAAAAATGGTTAGAATGGAAAACTTTCTCCTGATCTAGCAGTGGTAACACCTGCTCTTGCTGCCACTGTATCAATATTTGTAAGTGCTGCTTTATTCTTCATTCTGAAAAGAAGAGATGATAGTAAACAAGTCTTTATCTCCACATATGATAGTGTTATAAATACTGTAAAAGCATGGAAGGTGCAAAACTCAGTATTTCCACAATTGCAGCTAAGAACATTAGGATGAATGGCTGGCTGCTTCTAGGAATATAAGATGCCTCAAGCATTCATTATTTATAATTTGAATACTGTAGCTGTTTTTGTTGTTGTTGCTTGGCTTTTGAATGAGTGTAAATTGGTTTCTTTTGTGTATTTATACTTGTATGTATGATTTGCATGTTTCAATGATAAAGGGATAAAACAGTGTACTGACAACTGTTTACAAGAAAGTGGAGAAAAATGTACATACATTTTTGTATGTTTAGATATTACCATAAATACTCAGGATTGGAGCTGCTTGTAAGTATAACGATATAACTTTATTTTATCTTGTCAGAGTCCATCACTAATCTAAAACAAAGGTGGCACTTTTTCATGTTAACCTTAAACTCTAGGCCTTACTGGAAGCCACTGAAGGGGGACACTTCACTACCAGATGGGTATGCAGTGCCACAGATGGTCATGTATTTACACTGTGAGGCACTGAACTTTTGCCTTCAGAGCTTCTGACCAGGTTGGCTGCTGAAATAGCCCCTAATTTTCTGAAGGCTTGAAGAGGAAAAAATAAAGTTTACATACTCTTGATGTGAAGTGCATTTGAAATGTTTGTCGGCTTGTTGCAGTACTATAAACACAGAGCTGTTAATAATGGTTATGTAGATTACTGTGATTTGAAAACTAAATCCACAAAACTTATATAGTGAAGAACTAGTAAGTTTTTTTCCTAAATAAAGAACTTTAACACTACATATTTTAACAGTAAACAGGGATTGCTTTTCCTTTAGTGTTCAGAATGACACCATATTCTTACACATACTCCTCCCATGAAGTGTGTTTGTGTGTGATGCCATATTTCTTTTTCAGGTAAATGCAGTCTTCCTTATAGAAACGAAATTACCTGTTGCTCTCTCAGTTGTTTTATATTCTAACAATAAATAAAAAGAAAAGATCACTGACTGTGCATTGTACCTGTATTTATAGCTTATGGTTGTTATCAGGAAGCTCTGTGAGAAAAAAGGGTTAGCCTCCAGGTAAACAAGCTAGTGGAGGTTTTACATTTGTTTGCACATCTCAGTATATTCCTGTTAAGGTCAAGTTTGCACAGTCATCTAACTTCTGAACAAACAATAGACTTTAACTTGTTTAAAATCTGTCTTAAACACCAGTAATGTGGCTCCGGTTTATCAGCTAATCTTGAATTTATTCTGTGGTAAATCTTTGAGCTGTTGAGTGTCTTTAGATGGGGTGAATTTTCAACTTTTCGTTGAACTGAAAACTGTCTTAATTTTTTCCTCTATGTATATGAATTATTTTTGTTACAAAGCCACTGATATGTGCACAATTGTAATTTTACTCAAGTATGTTGCAGTTGTAAATATTAGAGCGTTTAATCTCGTGCTCTACCTTTATTTAGCGATTACCTAATTTGCCAGTAGCTTTATATTTTTTTTAAGATAATTGTTCATTATTTTGTCAATGTTATTTGAACTTAGGATACTAGGAGCCTCTTTCTAGGCACTTTGCCTAGCTAGCATGTCCTAACATTTGTTCTTTGTCTTGCATAACTTTAGTAATCTTTGTCATTACATGTAACTTTGTTGCTCTGTATGGCATATTATTGTATCCATAAACATGGTAATTTTGATACAGTTATACTTTTACAGTGGTACATAATCCGAGGACTAGTATAGAATTAAACTGAGTGCAAGATGAGGGCGGGGAAGGGTTTTGTTCTTGGTAATTTAGATGTGAAACCTCTAAGGAGCTATCATGTGAAACGACATAGGGTGGTCGTGCTACTGTATAATGGGGGATGATAATACCAGGAATTTTAATAAGATTTTGTAAAGAATATCCAAAAAAGTAGTGAACTTATTTTCAGTATGACATAGAAAACAATGTGAATATTTAAGGTCTGTGACTACACTTAAACTTCACTAAGAATTTGCAGAATTGTTTTGAGATGTGGGAATAAAGGTAATTTTGTTGAATCTTTTATTGGTGCTAATGATGGACAGTTTAAAAGGTAGCTAGTATATATTGTTATGGGTCAGTACTTATTAGTACTTCCAAAATTGAATTTGAAATGCTATGTATTCACTTTTCACTCTGTAAATGTAATTCTTTACAATGACTTTATTTATTAAAGGGCAGCCAGTTGTAATTTGTACAGGATTGTGTGAGCTATTCAAACTCTTTAACCTCTGAAGAGGATTATAGGTTCTAAAACCACCATGGGGATGAATATGAAAATCCTTTTAAGTTTCATTTCCATTAAATGAAAACCCCTATTACTCATACTACCATTAATTTGCTTTCCCCATCTCATTTGCATAAAATAGTTCATCAGCCTGGTCCCAATAGGCTCAACCAAAGAAAAAGACTCCAATGAATGGACATTATTATTGAGTCTTCTTGTAAGTAGCCATAAATAAACCAAAATAGTATCATCAAATTTAGGTATGAAATTCCACATGTGCAAAGTACTGTTAAGGTGATTTACATTTTTGATGAGATTTTTTTTAATATTTGAAATATTAAAAAGCATTATCTTTAAACATCCTTTAAAAGAGTGATTCGTTTTTCAGTTGTCTTTTCCCTAGATCATAGTTTTGTTACCTTTATGCAGAAGCACATTGCATAGAAAGGCTTTACTTCTACCTCTTTAAGTAGTTTTCCAGTATTGAGCTGTACCCCCTAAATATATGCCTTAGCTACTTTAAAATATGTTTTCAGAACCAAAAAGCAGAGTGTTTTTTCACTGAAACATTCTTGGAAGGCCTGCTGTACCAAACTTTAGCGGTATCCTTTAGCGCTAAGACCTTACAAAATGTCCCAGTTCCCTTTTGTTGTTGAACCTGAAGTTTGTTTCTTAGGTTTGTCTTTGAAAGCAGTTACAGATGCATCTTGATCTTCCTCTGTGTGTGCAGGTGCATTCTGGTTAGAGTTGTTGAGTCCAGATTTCTACCATGATATATATCCGTGGTTTCATGTGAAATATCATGAGAGGTGCTTGCATGACTTTGTACCAACAGATTATAATTAGGTAGAATACCTTTCTTTTTTTCTTTGGTCTGTCTTCCTTGACCTAAAGAAATGACTGGTCTTCTTCAGAGAACCAAATTTTAAATGTTTTTTGTTAGTTACCAATTGCCTTTCCTAGCATTTTAAGCACATTTTTTGGTTATATTTGAGAATTTAAATTGCTGGTTTTTATTCCATAACCAACCTTAGAAATAAACCAGTGCATACTTATGCATGACTTGTGTACTGTAGAAGTATCTTGGGTCGATTAGATATGTTAGGGTATTTTGCATTTACTGTGGAAATAAGTAAGGAGGATTTGTTTTCTTTTTTTTTTAACATGGTAGTAGCTCTGAAGGAAGACAGTTATATTCTCAAAATATCTCACCATTTCCACATTTTATCTAAACAGTAAGCAATTGTTTCTTTACTACTGTGCTTAAATTGCTAGGTGACTTTTAAGATCTCTGCTGAGAAAAATTTGAGAGCTCTTGTGAAGAATCTTTGATTTAGCAATCTTTTGCTCAAGAGGCTTTCTTGGGAGGCAGTAGGGTTCACTAACTGCATTTACCCAGATGAAGGATCAGTGAATCCCACACCCAGGAAACTTGGGTTAACTGAGCTCACACAATGATACTTCCTAATCCTGTGTGCCCGTGTATTTATGGTAGGCTGATTTAGATGGGGATCTTTGTGTTGGAAAACAGCACATTCTGTCTCTGCCCTCCTAGGGTACCAAGTTATGATACCAATGTATTAATTTGAGAATTCACAATTCCTCTAATATCTGAAATTTGATTGCTGTAAGCCAAATTAGAAGTGCACTTATTTTGTAAGGGAAATTTGCCTTTATAGTAGAGATGATCTTGCCAGTGGGTCTGGAATGCTCAGTGTTTTAGGTCTGATTGGCCATGCATCCATTTTTTATTCCACAGTGTCAATTTGGGCACAGCCAGCTTTTGCTTCTGTGACTCCTCTTTTTCTGTTCTGTATAATTTACTAGTATCTATTTTCGGCTGACAGGTTCTTTAGAATAGGTTGATAAGCAAGATACATTGAAGGTTGTTGTATGGCTAGGAGTAATTCTGTTTTCATAAAGGTGAGTTCACCCATTCACTGTGATCCTTTAACCCCAAAGGAAATTCTGAGAGCTAATTTCCCTTATTTCCAACTTTTGGGAGGAAGCCTCGCTTAAAACCTGTTTAGTAGTTGGTTTGATTTGCCTATTGTTAAGTAATGAATACATTCTTTCTTTTAAGGTGTATTTTTCAAGCAGCTTCACTTGGTTTGAAAAACTTCACCTGTACTCGTTTGTTGTCCGCAATGATTGGGATTTTGTTTTCTGAATATGCTCAAAACCCCCAAGGACTGTTGAATAGGACGTTTGCTGATAGAAAATCCAAAACAGGAATGTGTGTGTGTGGCATGAATTTAATTAGTTACAGAATTTCAGGACAGTATCATGAGGAATTATTAATAAAATTTGTTTATTGAAAATGTAAATCCAAGGCTCTAACATGTCTTGTTAATGTGAATCAGAAATAACTTTCAGTCCCTGGGAAATAAGGTCTTAATGTAAGTTTCTCTTTATCTGAGTAACTTCATAAGTCTTCAAGGAGTGTGGCCTTTGAGTTCATTAAGATTGTCTGTATTCTAGTCTCAGACACACCACTTGGTAGCTGATGTCCTTGCGGTGAATTACTTGACTTTGTGCCTTGATTTCCTTACCTACAAAATCTACCTATTCATAGGGTTGTGAGGTTTAAGGTTTGGGTGATCAGGGAAGGCTAAATAATGGCATTGAGGAGATTCTTGATAGAGGTATATTTTAGCTATTGGAGGGAATGATGAAATCCAGTCCAGGTGCATTAAAGTTGGGTGTGTATTAAACTGCATGCCTACTGTTTCCAGAATTTAAGTTGTTCATTCTAATTCATACTTTGGGATTTTCTTGGTTAAACTGTTGAATCACCTCCCCAAAAAGCAGAGAGGAATTGCAATCATCTGGAAGGGGCGTTATCCATGAAAAAATACTTAATCATAAACTGCTTTATTATTGCTGCTCTCTCCAACCCCTTGCCTTCCCCACCAATTTACCTGCACCTTCTCCTTGAAAGAAAATTGAAGCCATGCAGTGGCTTTAATAAAATAAAACTAGGATAGAAAAGTTACTTTCTCTAAAATGCATCTTAAGCCTAAATGTAAAATAAATGTTTTGAAATCAATTGAAAGAGAGTTGTCTTAATCTTCTGTTGATAACACCAGTAAGGGCTTGTTGTATTAGCATATGATAAATTGCATGAGTTTTATTTAGGAACATAACAAAGTCTGTCAATTCCACCTTACTGAAGTTAGTAATTCCGTTTTGTAATACATCCTACTCCATTGTTTCTTCCCTCTTTTTTTGCCCTCCTGTTCTCAATATAATGAAAACAGTTGTACATTTTTGTTGGAGCTCTGCTGTATGAACTGCCTTCTTCCCCCTCCCCAGTACCACCCTCCAAAGCAGTGAAGAGCCTCACAGATGAAAGGGTTCTTCTTTTATTGCCATGAAATTAAGAGCTTTTAGACCTTACAAGTGTCAGGGCATATACCCAAGGTCAGTCTTAGGTTTGAGTTTTGTTTTAGCCTTTCAAGTTATAATCCATAAGAGCAATTACTCTACGGATGAATTCAGCCATAGTTTTGCACAAGTGTGAGAAGTGATGTCAGTAGGACAAAGTACTTGAGCTTTTCCTCAGAATTATTTGCTATTCCAGTTTTGCACTCTGTTAATTGTAGTGATCACCAGTGAACATACAGACTGCCTACATTGGGTACTCTAATGTTGACAGAATCTCCTGGAAAGCTTTTTTAAAATGCAAGTTTCTACCTTACATAGCAGCTTTAAGCTGAATTAATACTTGCAAGTGCAGCACGGATGAGGAATAAAGATGACCTGGTAGGTGATGGAGGCTTTTGACTGCTCATTGAGCAGATGAAGTGGTTTGTATCTTGGAGCTATTCATTCCAGTGTACAAGGCCTCAGACTGCTGTAGCGGTTGTGCTGGAGGAAGTGGATGATGGAGTCCTGTACACCCCAGTCCCATACTCCAGAGCTTGCTCTTTTCCACTCTGGCAGCTCTCCTCACTCCGCCACTGAGAAATGTCTCCCGTGCAAGGACTAAGGTAGGTTCAAGTTAGGGAAGTGCTGTAGAGTCGGAACTACTCTGGGGAGTTAGATTTCCTTTGGTGGAGCAGACAGGAAGATTCAGTACATAATGAAGTGTACTTGGGAATATAATTAAAAACAAGCATTGTGAGTGGTGAAAAGAGCTGTGGCTAAGTGAAGAAGGAGAAGCTTTTAACACCATTAAAGTAACCAAAGTCAACTGGACTGGTGGAATTTGTTAATCAGTATCACAGTGGGGTTTTGTTTGGGTAAAACTTAACGATGTAACTGTATTTATAAACCACACATCTGAGGCAGCGGGCTGTAAAGTCACACAAATAACTTGAGTGACTGTCCTGACTTCCACCTACCGGTAGATGGCCTTGAGAAAGTCACTTAGCTCTCAACCCTATCGTTCTTTAACAAAGTGAGATAACCAACCCAAACAAATGAGGTGCTTTTTTATATTAAGAGTTCAGGAAATGCTAGTCCTTCCAGTGACCACTTAACTGTACTCCCTATCTCCTCTCAGACCCTCCTCCTCCCAAAGGAAGTTAAAAAGGGAGCAAACATCTGGGCAATGATAAAAGCAGAATTCCAGCCTGTTATGTCTTAAACACAAGGAATGACAAAACAACAGAAAATTCTTAGGACCAAGGGTCACCTATTGAAAACACAAAATTTTGAAGGTTCTGTTCCAAAGTTGTGCTCAGTATTCTATGAAGAGGGTTAGGGTTGTCACCAACTTCATGTGTCCATTGCTATGATACACGTGTACAGAATAGGCTTTGCTCCCTAGCCTTTCCCATATGTAGTCTATTTGCTCCTAAATCAGATAAAACCATCCAGATTTTAAAGAATGCTTAAGATCCCAACTAAAATTTTTTAAAAACCACTTTAACAAAATACTTCATTTTGTCAGGTTATGCTGATATACAGGTAAATGAGAAACGTATCTCTTAAATTATCAAATATGAGAAAACTGTACAAATTACAGACAAGGTATACCCAGAAAGACGTATCTAAACATGTCGGCCAAAGTAAAATCTTTTATCTCAGCTTGACTGCATTTCAGTTGCTTCTCAAAACTTCTGAAGAACCAACTTGATTTTGACAAAGCCTGACAACTGGTGTTAGAATACACCTTAAGTTAGTTTGTAATTGTGCCACTTTGAAATGATAGCAGCCAGTAAAAAGATGCTATAGAAATAGCTCAAAACAATAGGTGTCAATAATGAAATTTAGTAGATGAGTGGAATCACAGCAGTAGAAACCTTAACAATGCTTCCACCAACTTAAAACAAGGCCTTGTAATAATTCTGACAACTTGTCCACTTTTTCTGGTGAGGTTTATCAATGTTCTAGAAATGAAGAGTGACCTCAGGGGGTACCTGGGTGACTCAGTCGGTTGGGCATCTGACTCTTGATTTAGGCTCAGGTTATGATCTCAGGATCCTGGTGTCTGGCTTTGCACTCAGCCAGGAGTCCACTTGAGGATTCTTTCTCTCCCTCTGCCCCTCCCCTGCTTGCTCGATCGCTCTTTCTCTCAAATAAATAAATCCTTAAAAAAAAAGTGACCTCACTGGGGATGTCCTTCATTCTGGCGAAATGAGCCCTGAAAAAATGTATATGCTGACCCACTCCCCTTGATCA